TATATATATATATATATATATATATATATATATAGATCGAATGAAAAATAGGAAAAATAATCTGAAAATTATTTTCACTTCTGTATCTCTCTAAATTTTTATATGCCTTAATAAAAACATTCTCTTTATATAAAAAAAAGACACTAGAATTCCCTTAGAATTTCCCTAGTCGTCAAATTTAGATTGAAATTCATTTCATTACGGAACCTGGAAACTCTCTCTTACCCTGAATGAGTTTCCAATCGCCAATCGTGATACCGGAGACCCCATAAATATCATCGATATTGTGAAGTATGATCGCGCGCGGCGATTCGGTATCGTCGCTAAGCGCATTCCATAGATCCATGCCGTCGACAGTTAAGTTTGATGGATCACCACCGGCGGCTGTTATAAGCGTCGGCAGCCAATCGGTAATATGTATCATCTGTCTGCTTATTCGGCCAGGCCGCACCAGTTTAGGCGACCATATTAATCCCGCACCCCTGACGCCACCTGTAAAATAATTGAATGGAAAAGATTGATACGAGCGTTACATATTAAAAATACCGTGGGCTTGTAATGTAAAATTTTCGATTAAATTTTTATGAGATTAATTTTTATTAATTTATTTAACAAAATGCTGACTTGAGTTTTTGCGGATACACTAATTAGAATATAATTATAAAAATCATGATGAATTCGTGTTGAAAAAAATTGCAAAGTTATTTTCTTGCTGGATTAGTAACTGTTTTTGTTGGAGGAATTTCAAACGCATTTCGTCTATAATTTCATATAATTGTCTGATTAATTTGTCAATAGTATTAGTTAAATGAATTACCTTCCCAAAGGGTATTTTTGACACCCCTCAGCGGCCAGTTAGACGCTGCATTCAAGTTAAATCCGGCGGCAGGGCCACCGTTGTCCGTCGAGAAGATGATTATACTATCTCGCAGCATATCTTTTGTACGCAAAGCTTGAACTACTTGGCCCACCGATTGATCTAGTTTACTCAGCATGCCTATAAGAGAATCCCAAAAATTATCAAGAATTCTAAGGTTCTTTTGTAATTGCGTAATTATATTTTTAGTATCTCGCTCTATTTTTTTTTTATTATTTTATAATCCTCCTCGATCAGCCATTCACATTAACTTTAATTTTTATTTCCTAAAGCACTTGTCAATTACCTGCGAAACGCCTTCGGTTGTAGTCGAAAATGTTAGTGAACTTAGCGACCTCTTCGTCCGGCGCCGGAAGTGGATTATAAGGATTTCCGGAGTGCACAGCTGCGTGAGCCAAATACAGGAACATCGGTCGGCTAGAGTTGTGCTTGTCGATCAATCTCACCGCCTCTTTTGTGAAAATATCCGTAGAATATTGTCCGTGTAAGTCCCACGTCGCTTCCATACCTTGTCTCATATCCAAGCCCCAATATGGCTACACAAAATTTTCAGATTTATCTTCTTACATCTCACAACGAGTTCAGCGTAACTAGAATTTCATATAATAATCGCAAAACGATTTTTTGTGTAATAAATATGACGTATTGCATGTTAAAAAACGATTAAAATAGAATATTAATTTTAAATGTTTAGAATTCCCAAATATATATATATATTTACTTCGCTTTTACATTGATTAAAAATTTAGTTTTCTGCATGCTTGCTTTTATCTCGTAAATGCTTTTATTTATATTTGATTTTGAATATAAATGGACACACACACACACACACACACACACACACACACACACACACACACACACACATCATTCTTATCTTATCTTATGCACTACTAAACGAACTTTTCGTTCTAGTTAAGCGTCGAAATTATCGAATCAAAAATTGTTGCAATTTTATCAATGTCATTTTATCATATTAAATTATTTATTTTAATTGTATATTTTTATATATATCTTGATTATATATTATAGTCGCTCACATCTTCAACAGCCGTATGATCGAAGTAATCTTGGTGACCCGTCCAGAAGCCAGTGTGGGTGTCGAATCCCCTGTAAGTCGGGGTGTACTCCTTTTTGTAAAATCCTAGATGCCATTTACCGACAATGTGCGTGCTGTATCCAAGCTCGCGTAGATATTCCGGCAAGAGTTTCTCGTGAAGTGGTAATCCTCTTGGCTCCGCACCTTTGAGAACCTGAATTATTCAAGAAGTCTAAATCTTACAGAGAGAGAGAGAGAGAGAGAGAAAGAGAACTACCTACGTTCATAATAATATTCAGTCTTTTTTTCAGTGAACTTAATTAAAGTCTTGCCAGTCGTATTAACAGTTGGAAAAGATATTTTTAATCTAGAATTTTGTTCCTTAAAAATTTATCGAATCTCGCGAGCGTTGGAAAAAGTTAGTTTTGACGATTATCTTACGAATACGAATTGGAAAATTGCGAAGATGCATTATTCACACGTTATTAATTGCGCGATAGTGAGAGGGATGAGATTAAACTGATCGATTACGCAGCCTTTTGTCAGCTTTGCATGTAGACACGCGTATACAGCGCTAAAAACGTGTATGCGAACAAAGTAGCAACGTCTCAATCGCTCAGCATGATAATTTCCATTTGAACAATCCAGGTCAGCGCGGCAAAAGTGTAAGCGCATAATCTCCTCTTTTGTCACCTACGTTGCAAGCTGAACAACAACATTTCCGCCAATTGATAATTCTCAATCGCATTTATTCATTGACAGGTGCAACGACAGTTAAAAAAAAAACAATTAATCGCGATTTTAATTAAGCGATTTATATTACATTTATATTACATTATTATTACATTTATATTACAATATTATTATTCTTATTAAAAAAAACTACCTGACGAAAGAGAGATGACAAATTGAAGCTTTTGAACGACTTGGTCGCATTACAAGATTAAATTTACTTTGGAACCGCTGCTTTCATTTGCTTTCTCGTATCACGTGCTTAAACTCTCAATGAAGCGCACGACGCGAGACGTTGCACTTCTACCACTTACGCCGTGCTGCATTCCAGTGTGAATGGGATGTTTGCCGGTCATCAGGGCGCTTCTCGATGGTGTGCAGATCGGAGTGACATAATATCTATCGAGGAGCAGTCCGGAGTACGCAAGCGCATCGATATTCGGCGTCGGGATCTGTCCGGAGCCGTGAAAGCCAACGTCATTCCATCCCTGATGAAAGTGAAATTAAATTTATATAATCCTTATTAAAATATTCCCCACGATTTTATTTTAATAATTAAGTTAAAATAAAATAAATAATATAAAATATAAAATAAATATTAATATAATCCTTATTATAAAATATTATTCTTTACGATTTTTTTTCGTGTTTTCCCACGTAATTTGTACATCAAACGTGACAAAGTCATATAGTTGTAAGAAGAGAAGGATGACGCACACTTCATTTTCATTTTCTTTGACGTGAAAGAATTTATGCTGTATATAACATGGATAAAAAATACATACGGACAATTTATAGAATACGTGTGCATGGAGATGTTAGGAAAGATATATGAAAAGAGTAAATCTGCCTCGGGGATAAGATGAGTTTGCGTTTGACAGAAAGGAGACATTACAGACTTAATATATTCCATTGCGTGACTGATAAACTCGTACTATATAAATAAGTAGATACTCGGCTTTGCATAATGTCGAGAAAGAACCTGTTACTGCGACGTTCTTCATTCCACTTTTATTTAACAAACATATTAATCCAAAAACTTTTAATATTGAAAAATCAAAAGAAGTATTGAGGACAAATAGGAATCGAAGTGTGATTAGCGAAGCGCAAAATTAAGTTTATTCTATTACAATACATATGTTTTAACTCAATTTCGAACCATCTTTAATGGGAATTTGCAATTCGATAAAAATCCCGTTTCCGGAGTTCTAAATAAAAGTGAAAATATTTTTTCTGAGAATTAATGTATCGCTCACACTGATTGCAAGGCCAAGTGACGTAAATTGAGATAATGAGTAAACATCCACAAGTCGAGAAATACATAAGAAAAACATGGAAACATCAATTAATATAATTGGTTATTAATGAACAGAAATAAACATAAGAAAATTACAAAAGAATTTTTTCTAAAAAACAGCCAATAGTTTAAAATAACAGAAAACTGATAATGTCGAAGTCAAAGTTATAGTCGAAAGTCTAAGTCACAATGAAATTTTTTTGACTCTGCTTTCAACACTTATTTACTCTGGTCACCTTCTTTGATCTTTGTTTAATTTTTTAGCATGTCTGAGCTAAGTAGAAGTCGATTCGCATAGAGCTCTCATTCTACCCTAAGTAGAAGTCGATTCGCATAGAGCTCTCATTCTACCTTTAACGATTTATCATTTTCGTAGTGTTTTGAGAGACCGGATGAGATCGCAAACCTCGAAAGACAACTTGCCAAATCGTCGGCCAGGATGAAAACAATGTGCGGTTGCTTCGTCGAAGTCGCATGGACCGTCGCGAGCAGCAGGATCAGGGATGTCCACTGTGCGATTCCCGATGGATAACGCATGGTTTCCCGCTTCCTTTAAACCAGCGTGACGTGTTCCCAGTGGAACCGGTTCGCGATTCCTCCTCGAGAATACGAAACGGACTCTAAATACTTGTGCGGCGACCGGCTGCTCGAAACTATCTTCTTCGCTCGGCTGTCTTCCGAGTCGTCTTTTTCCGGGTACCAATAGTGGGGAACCTCCCACCTTGAGGTATCATCTTCGTTCATCTCGTCGTTCGTCACGATAATCTCCTTGCCGTTTAACCGATCATCAATTCGCTCAGACCGCGGCGCTAAGTGGTCGCGTTATCTGCAAATTAAAATCGCCCGTCACATTTCGAAATGTTTTTTACAAACTTCGCATCTTACCATGTTTTGGATGCATCCAAGAGATTTCCACCTCTGTGCTCGATCTCAAGTTCCTTCGGTCAAGGACCGAATGTGTTATTAATTCAGTTTCGTCGTTTGCATTATCTGCACTACATACATAAAATATTTTTTCGCGTCATCGTTTGCATTATCTACACTACATACATAAAATATTTTTTCGCGTGAAGGAGAACAGAAAATCAATACATGCCGAAATATGAGTATTCCTTAAAAAAAAAAATGTTTCACGATTTTGTCATTTGTGCTCCATTAATGGCATTTTGCTTTTACAACGCATAGGACTGTGGCACGATGTGTTTCCATTTATTCCGACATGATATCATCGCGTCGTCCTGTGCCCTAAATGCACAGAACGTTAATATTCAGATACATAATTATTTTCACTAAAATGTCCAGACACACATATACACATATATATATATATGTACAGGGTGAATTATCTTCTTTTATCACAAATAGTTAAAAGCGTGAAAGCGAATCGCGCTTGTCATCATGCAATCACCATGAGACATAATGGAATAAATACATTAGGGTGAAAAATAAGAAATAATTGATACATAAAAAATACGTAGAAAATACAAGAAGTATAATAAGTATAAGATATATAGGAGCTGATGCCTAATAATTATTTTTATGAATTTATATATAACAAATATATAATGAAAAGGGGAACAAAACTTCCCTCTTCTGTTATATATTAATTGTCTACGTGCCATTATCGTGATCGACTACGTGTCATTATTAATAAACTTGCGACACAGTTAATCAAGGTCAAAGTTATGTGTATACTTCTTTAATACTTCGATCAAATAAATAATATCGATTAAAAATCTGTTAGAGAAATAAATCTCATTATGAAAAATATCTCAGCCAAAATTCAAACTTGAAACCTTCTGACTTTCTTTCTGACTTTTTGAAACAGATGTTTTTATTTATTTGATTATTAAGGCATATGGTGATATTTATAATCAGATAAATAATACAAGGACGATCATTTTCTGGCGATATATATAACATAAATATTTAGAAATCAGTAATTATTTTTAACACGAGAAATATGTATGAAATCGTATACAATAGTGGCTAATAATTATTTTTATAAATAAAAATAAAAATGACATCCTGCAAGACTCAACCGCGATCGAATACGTTTTATATGTATATTTCTTATGGTAAAAACACGGTTTTAAATATTTATGTAGGAAATATTTATTCGTGGAAGAAATATTAGTTTCAGTAATTTAAAATTATTCAGATATTT